TAAAGACAGCGACCTCTACCTGCAAAGACTCAAAGTTAAAGACAGCGACCTCTACCTGCAAAGACTCAAACTTCATGTTGAAGACAGCGACCTCTACCTGCAGCTGTTCAGTCAGTCAGCAGGGGGCGACATTTACCTGTTAATAGATGAACTCATCTTTATTTTTATTTTGTAAATTGAATCTGAAGTTAATTGAACCAGTTTTGTTTTTGTTGTTATAAAGAAGTTAAGATGATTTTTTTACATTCTCCCAAATATACAAGAAATCGCTGAAAATAACAAAAATAAACTCTATTAACACAAATTCGCACCATGTGACTACGAGCTGCTGAGTCTGGATTTTAAATAAGTGTTTTTAAAAATGTACAAAACGAGCTGCAGAGTTTTCTTTTTTAAATAAACTTAATTATATTTGTATGGGAGGGACCGGACCTGTGGCTCTGAGGTTAAAACATAAAGATGAATCTTGTTTCCTACACACGGTTCCTGAATCTGCCTGAAATGTGACATTAAACTTTGATTCAGTCTTTTCTTCTTTGCATCAATGTTTTACCTTTTAAATGTTTTATTTCAAAATGAATTATTCATCATACGTCCACGTTTTGTTATTTATTCTTGAATAATTAATCATTAAGTACAGTGATCCTGAAGGAAAGTTCAGATTATCCTGTAGATTCAGGATTTTAGGGATATTATTTTGAAGTTCAGTTGTTTTAGTGCTGGTGCCCCGCTTTGACTTTGAAAGGGAGCCCCCGCCACTTCCTGTATGGTGCGTGTTAACGTCCTCCAGCTTGTCTCCGGTGCACGGATCGGTCCCGACGCAGCATCCAGACCTCACACCGACTCCAGAGAGACTCAGGCCGGGACGGAGCTCCGCTGGACGGGGGAGGAGGACCGGGGATCTGCGCGAGAGCTCAGGGGGAGAACTCCGATTGAACCTCCGCTGAATCCTGCTGCAGTTCTGAGGCTCAACTACAAGATTCAAAGACTCAGAGGAGGATGAATCCTCAGTGCGCAAGATGTGGGAAGATCGTTTACCCGACAGAGAAAGTCAGCTGCCTGGACAAGGTGCGCGCACACACACACACACA